ATCCACCTGCCTCAGCCTCCCAAAGTGCTAGGATTACAGGTGTGAGCCACCGTGCCCAGCCTTGTTTGTTTTTTTCTTTTTGAGCCAGAATCTCACTCTCTCATCCAGTCTGGAGTGCAGTGGCGCGATCTCAGCTCACTGCAACCTTCACCTCCCAGGCTCAAGCGATTCTCAAGCCTCACCCTCCTGGGTAGCTAGAATTAAAGGTGTGCACCACTATGCCCAGTTAATTTTTGTATTTTTAGTAGAGAAGGGGTTTTGCCATGTTGGCCACACTGGTGTCTAACTCCTGGCCTCAAGTGATCTGCTGGCCTTGGGCTCCCATTGTGCTGGGATTACATGTGTGAGCCACCGTGACCAGCCCTAATTTTTGTATTTTTTGTAAACATGGGGTTTCGTCACATTGCCCAGGTTGGTCTCGAACTCTTGGGCTCAAGCAATCTGCCCACCTTGGCCTCCCGAAACGCTGGGATTATAGGTGTGAGCCACCGTGCTCAGCTTTTTTTTTTTTTTTAAAGAGAAAATAGGTCTCTCACTTTGTCATCCAAGCTGGAGTATAGTGGTGTGATCATGGCTCACTGCAGCCTCAACCTCTAAAGCTCAAGCTGTCCTCCCTCCTCAGCCTCCCAAGTAGCTGGGACTATAGGCCATGCCATCATGCCCGGCTAATTTTAAAATTTTTTTTTTCTTTTTCTGAAACTGCTCGGAAAAAATTTAAACGGCATTGGAGTCTTTTTGTAAAAGGCACACCTACCCTGGGAAACATCTGGGCTTTGTGTTTTGTGGGGAATACAACTTTCTCTCTCTTTTGGGGATAAAGTGCTATTAATTTTTAAAAAATAAAATCATCAACTATATCCAAACTTCTAAAGTAACAGACATTGAGTTCAGCAAAGCAGTCTTTTATAATTCACAGATGGTATGAAAACTAAGAGAGGGACGACGTGACCTGTGGAGGTTGTATATAAAGGATAGAGCCCTTGGGCCCTTCAGACTATAAGGGTCCAGGAGGGGAGGAGAAACCACCTCAGAAGCATATAAGGTTAAAGCATACAAGGTGGGCATAGGGTCAGGGGAGCCAAAATAAGTGTGCAATGAAAAGTTATTAACAAAAGTCAAAAAAAGAAGATGCAGTCTGGCCATCAAATTCCTAAACCATGTACAAAGCACACGGAAAGAGCAGAGGAAGCGTCCTGCAGCAGGGCAGTACAGCTCTCTGCCCTTCAGGAAAACTGAGATTCCTCCACCTGGGAAACAGCGAGGGACAATTAGGGAAAGCTCTCCAGAGGAGGAGGCATTTCAGGCAGGCCAAAGAAGAAAAAATTCCACAGGACAGAAAAGGCAGAGAAGAGGCCGGGCACAGTGGCTCACGTATGTAATCCGAACACTTTGGGAGGCCAAGGCAGGCGGATTACCTGAGGTCAGGAGTTGGAGACCAGCCTGGACAACGTGATCAAATCCCATCTCTACTAAAAATACAAAAATTAGCTGGGTTTGGTGGCGCATGTCTGTAATCCCAGCTACTCAGCAGGCTGAGGCAGGAGAATCACTTGAACCCGGGAGGTGGAGGTTGCAGTGAGCCGAGATCGCCCCACTGCACTACAGCCTGGGGGACAGGGCAAGACTCCATCGCAAAACAAACAAACAAACAAAAAGGCCGGGCGTGGTGTGGCTCACACCTGTAATCCCAGCACTTTGGGAGGCACAGGAGGGCAAATTGCAAGGTCAAGAGTTCGAGATCAGCCCGGCCAACATGGTGAAACCCTGTCTCTACTAAAAATACAAAAAATTAGCTGGGCGTGGTAGCACACGCCTGTAGTCCCAGCTACTTGAGAGGCTGAGGCAGGAGAATTGCTTGAACCCAGGAGGCAGAGGTTGCAGGGAGCCGAGATTGCACCACTGCACTCCAGCCTGGGTGACAGAGTAAGACTC